AAAGTAGAAATCTAAATAAAACTGAGGAGTATTTTTGCAGATTAAGATGGGCAAATCATAAACAAACCAGAGGTCTGTGGTTTGGCCAAGGTATTTCTCTCATCAAATGCAATAAAGCTTGCGATTATTATTTTTAAAAAGGAAAATAGAAGAAAACAAACAAGTCCTCAAAACAATGCTGCAGTTTTTGGGGAACAGTATTTCCAGTTGGTTGTTTTAAAGTACCAGGGAATTAAAGTTCTGGGTCAACACCAGCCTTTGCAATGCATTGCTCCCCTGCACAGAGCTCCTAGAATAGGACAGAAACCCTTACTTCAGAATTGGCTCACTCTGATTGGAATAAAGTCAGTGAGTGTTAAACTACCCTGGATTTCAGAGGTGATGATGGTGACTTACCATGTTCTCACAGGAAAACTGTCTTTTTTACGTCTTACCATTTTACAGATTTCCTTTTTACAAACACTGCACAATAGGACATCCTGACCATAGCCTTGAGATACCCAGGAGACTGGGAGGCATTAAACATGGATTGATTTTCAGTTTTGCAACCAGAGTTTCTGTTGTTCTAAGGATGAGGGTGTTGTGGGAATCAGGATGCTCATCAGGAATTGGGGGATGGGGGATGATGGTGGTGGACAGGGGTCACCTTTCAAAGCTAAATTATATGTGGGTGTCATGGTTTCTGATTCACATTCCCCAGCTGTGAGAGAAAGAATGAGGAGTAAATATTTTCTTGTTCATAGGCCTGTAATACATTAGGTTACTTTTGTTGGCTTTGAGATCTCTAATTATCATGAGTTAGCCCTTTTCCCTTATGAGAAAAAAAATCTTGATTAGTGGATTTGAGGCCAAACAGAAGGCACCACCACCTTTAGTTCCTCTGTGACAGCAGATCCATGGTGAGCCTGGGCTTTCTACAGCCAGTAAGCCTCCAGCTGTTGAGGAACATGCCAGGTTACCTTTTTGTAGGTACACCCAATCTCTACTCTTTCAGTTCCCTCATTGAATTCAAATGGTTGAACTCAAATTGCTGAAATCAAATGGTTGAAAGGGAATGTTCCCTCACCATAAATGCTGAATCTTAACCCCTCCTCTCATTCCCTCTTCTCTCTCCAGTCTCCTGCCACGAGAGTGCAAAATGGTGCTGCCAGTTGGTCAAACAATGTGGCAGTTTATCAAAATGTTGAACATGAAATTGCCATATAACCCAGTAGTTCCACTTCTAGGAATCTCTCCTGGAAAAAATGAAAACATTTGTTCACACAACAGCTTATACAGGAATATTTGTAGTATAATTACTCATAATAGCCCCAAAGTAGAAATAACCCCAGTGTGCATCAGTGGGTGAGTGGATTTAAAAAATGCAGTATATCCATGAGCTGGAATATTATTTAGCAATAAAAAGGAACAAAGTACTGGTACTTGCTATGACATGGATGAACCTTGACAACACTATGCTTAGTGAAAAAAAATCCAGAAAACTAGATATTAAAGAATACATGCTATATGATTCTGTGTATAGAAAATGATCAAAAAAGGCAATACAGGGACTGTGTTAGTCTGTTCTTTTAAAGACGTACATGAGACTGGGTAATTTATAAAAGAAAGAGGCTTAACTGACTCACAGTCCTACAGGACTAGGGAAGCCTTAGGAAACTTACAATCATGGTGAAAGGGGAAGCAAACGTGCTTCTTCACATGGCGGCGAAAGGGGAAGCAAACGTGCTTCTTCACATGGCGGCAGGAAGGAGAAGTGCAAAGGGCAGAAAGCCCCTCATAAAACCATTAGGCTCTTGTGAGACCTCAATCACTATCATGAGAACAGCATGGAGGTAACCACTCCTATGATTCAATTATCTCCCACCAGGCCCCTCCCATGACACTTGGGGATTATGGGAACTACAATTCAGGATGAGAGTTGGGTGGGGACACAGCCAAACCATATCAGGGAGAGAAGGTAGATTAGCGATTGCTTAGAACTTGAGCGGGGAAAGAGAAATGACTGTAAATGGGCAGGAGAAATATTTTAGGGTAATGTAAAAGCTCTAAGGTTTGATTCAGTGATGATTATACAACTGTGTATATTTGTATTCAGGTTATAATGGTATGTATGTATATGTATTAGATAATATAAATATATTTGTAATGGGTTGAATAGTATCCCCAAAATTAATGTCCCCTTAGAACCTTGGAATATGACCTCATATGGAAATAGAGTCTTTGCAAATATAATTCGTTAAGAAGAGATCATATTGCATTAGGGTAGGTTCTAAATCCAGTGACTGGTATCCTCATAAGAAGTCCATGAGAAGACACAGAAACATTCAAAGAAGGATGTAAATCATGTAAAGATAAAGCAGAGGCTGAAGTTTTGCTGCCACAAGCCAAGGAATGCGTGTGGCCACCAGAAGCTGGAAGAGGCAAGGAAGGGCTTCCCCTAGCGGCTTTAAAGGGAGCATGGCTCTGCTGTTACCTTGATTTTGGAATTCCAGCCTCCAGAACTGTGAGAGAAGAAATTTGTGTTATTACAAGCCACACAGATTCTAGTAATTTGTTACAGGCACTCTAGGAAGCTAATGCAACATTAAGTGTACAAATGAATTGCACACTTAAAACAGGTGAATTTTATGGCATGAATATTGTACCACAATAAAGCTGTTAATAAAAATAAACATTTTTCTTTGATAGGCTAGGGGAAAGGGGGGATCAGAAACAAAGGCTGGGGACAGTATAGCCAGTTTTGCTGCATCTCAGAAATGCCGGAAGAGGAATTTCACAACAGTTGTGAACAGCTCTCTTTGACATGCAGGACTCTTGACGCCTCTTTCCTCAGTCACCAATTTGCCTACTTCCCATCTTATTACACGGTCAGTGCTGGGGGGCGCATCTCTGCCACATGGCTGCTGACTCTGGAGAAACTCCCAAATGTAGGTTCTTCTGTGAGTGTCCAGGCTACACAACTGCTGGTATTTTGACGTTTTATTATATGTCTCAAACCTCTCTGGTAAGCTATGGGACAAGGCATGACCCAGTATGTGCCAGTCTTAGAAGAAGCCACCCAGTGTGTTTCTATGGTAAAGTACCTTGGAAGGCTTATGAGGCAAGCAATCAAGTACATAGTCTGAGCTTGACCTCAGAAATGGGGGAAGGGAGCTTCTTCCTGTAATTGGGGAAGTGAGATTTAAAAGCAAGTAAAAATATAGTTATGTTTTGATGAATTTTTAAACTTTCTAGTCCTTTTTGTTAACATCTTATTCCTTTATCATATTTTAAAAATATCTTTAAACATGTGTGCATGGTTATTTTGCAGTCTGTATCTGATGACTCTATCATCTGAAGTCCTGGGAAGCTGGTTCTCAATCATGGTGTTAGTTTTCTCATGTGTTCTTTAGTTTTAGTTTGTGAGCTCATGGCCAGTAGAGCTTTATCTGGGTGCATTTCAGTGGGCCTGGACAGAGAACGTATTCTTGTAGAGTATGTTAGCTTTTGCTAGTCTCCTCAGGCCATTATCAAACTACAGTCACCTTCATGTTAATTCTTTAGCATGAATTTGACTCCAGACCTATGTAGAGTCAGGCCAGTTTTGCAAATTTTCAGGGGAGAGATTGTTTTTCTACATATATAACACAAGCTGAGGTAGTTTTATTCTCTCTTTACTTTTGTGGATTTTTATTTATTATTATTATTATTATTTTGGTTATATACTTTCTGTCAAGATAGAACCCTTTGAGGAGCCTGGCTTTGGAGGTCTCACATTTAATGTCATGCCTCTCAAGTAGTCAAAACACCACCATTATATTACCTCTGACTTTTCACCATCAGCTTTTGTTTTTGGTCTCTGGTTTTTCTCACCTTCTTATAAGCTTAGTATGCATTTTAAAAGGTGTTTGTTATATACAGTCTACAATTTATAGGTGGCTTGTGGAATTGGGGTGGGATCTTGTGTCATCTGTTGCCAAGAAAAGAAGCCTACATATTAGACTAATTTTGATGTGGGAAAAGAAAACTTGAGAAGCTTCACGAATAAAGAGTTCCCTTTTCTCAGTAAATTGGAGATGAGATTCTCGATACAAGTTATGGAAGAAGGACAGATTTGAGGTCTCCAGTGACTGATAAAGGTTTACAAGGTTTATAAAACTGTGGGAGATGGACATTGTGAAGAGTGGTTACGAGCACTGGTTAGCAGCAATAAGGGATTCACGTAAAGTTGACTAAAAGTGGAGGTTTTATCTCCATTGTTGAAAATGATAGTTAGAAACATAGATGATCCCAGAAAAAGGAGGATAACCCTTCCTGTGAACTTTTTTTTTTATAGACAGAGCAACCAGTAACATCATTGTATTAGTCCGTTTTCATGCTGCTGATGAAGACATACCCAAGACTGGGCTATTTACAAAAGAAAGAAGTTTAATGGACTTACAGTTCCATGTGGCTAGAGAGGCCTCATGACCATGATGGAAGGCAAGGAGGAGCAAGTCACATCTTACATGGATGGCAGCAGGCAAACAGAGAGAGCTTGTGCAGTGAAAATCCCATTTTTAAAACCATCAGATCTTGTAAGACTCACTCACTATCATGAGAACAGCATAGGAAAGATCCACCTCTGTGATTCACTTACCTCCCACCAGGTTCCTCACATGAAACATGGGAATTATGAGAATATAATTCAAGATGAGACTTGGGTGGGGACATAGCCAAACCATGCCAATCATTCTGGGTGTGCTAAGGGATATAGGCCATGGCCCTCAGCAGGATTGGAAGAGAGCAACATGCCGTGGATATGAAACGGCATGACAATTTCTGCCGAGGGCTCACTTACTCGAGTTTCATTTTTCTGCTGCCTTTCCTTTATTTTGCCTGTGATTCTCACTCAGCAGTTTCTTGAATAAATTTCATTTCAAAGAAATATCTCTTGAAGCTTGATTTACCTGAGTGTGTTGCCAGGGAAAAATCAAGAACGCTGCTTTGCTGAACAAGTTGTGTCCCTTTTGGTTTTTCAGTTCCTGCGATGATAACATCATATCCAAATACTACCCTGGCTACGCAGGGGCAGAAAAAGGAGATGAGCTGCACGGCGCATGGTGAGAAGCCCATTATAGTCCGCTGGGAGAAGGAGGACCGAATCATTAACCCTGAGATGGCCCGTTATCTTGTGTCCACCAAGGAGGTGGGAGAAGAGGTGATTTCTACTCTGCAGGTAAAAGCATGGCAAATACAACTCAATGAAATGAACTTTATTGGAAGAATAAGTCTTTCCTTTCACACAAGTGGGTGCAGATAAGTAGCAGATAATCTTTTGGAATTTATTTATGAAGCACCCTTTCTCTCGCCTTTCACACAGCGAGATGACTGAAGTAGCCTTCAAAAATAGTGCTTTAGCCTAAGTGTTAAGAATGGTGTCATTATGAACGCAGCAGGGAACCTAACTGTAATAAAAAAAAAAAAAAGTGAGAAATAAGGTTTTTAAATGACAGTTAATCTTTGAGGAATGACGGCCTATGCTGTGTGCATGTTTTAACTTCCTGCAAAAAGAAAAATGAGATGGGCTTTGGGACAAAAATATTATAAAAACTATCTTGCTTCTTTGGAAAAATCCACAATAAAAAAAAAAAGCTGTTGTCAAGAGAGGATCACAAAAGCTAGAGGAAAGCACTGTGAGTAGTGAACTGGCTTGTGCTGTTATCGTGGGGATAGAGGATGATACTATAGCACACACAGGGTGGGGAGGTGGGGAAGCCCTGTGTTCGAAATGCTTATATTGGCTCTCAGACATTCCGTTCCTGGAATCCTCCTGGAAAAGGAATCTGATGTGGGTCATGCTGGCCCCCAGCCCTGGCTGCAGTATTTAATCTGTCTCTTTAGGCATGGTTGCTTTGGATACCACGAAAAAAAAAATGTATATGTGGGATATATGTCAAGCTGACCACGACATCCTATATAAATTACACATCTAATTTAATGAGCTACAACTGACATGGATAATGTACATGAATCCTATTCATCCACCTGCTTACAATTACACTGAAATAATTTGTCCTCAGAGGGATACGTACATGTGTGTGATTTAGCGTATGTGTCTGGAGGAATGGGAGTTGTGTGAGTGAGTGTGAGTGTCAGTGTACATATGTGTGTGCTGGGCATGGCAGGAGAACTGAAAGAGTGGAGAGAGAGCTTTACGGCCCGAAGTCATTTTGCCTACTGAAAAAGATAAATTTCTTTCTGCTTCACACATAGATTTTGCCAACTGTGAGAGAAGATTCTGGTTTCTTTTCCTGCCATGCTATTAATTCTTATGGGGAGGACCGTGGAATAATTCAGCTCACAGTGCAAGGTAGGAAGACGATAGCATAAGAGAATAAACACAGTCGTTTCAGGACGGGAGCTCTATGCTCAGCCTTGGGCATCTGTGTGGCCTCAATTTGCCCCGTAACACTTCCTAATTCCCAGGAAATTTTGAATATGTATAATGTCAGTGCTAAAGCAGAATTTTGCAGTGCCTGTGATTATGTCAAAGTAAAGCCCTGAAACAGGGAACGAAGCCCTTAGAGGAGCCAGTCAAGATGACAAGCCCATCACAGTCAAGCCGCATGCACACAAGTACAGCGGTGGAATTCCTTAGCTCAATTTTAGGAATCCATGTACTAGATGACCAGAATGAAAGGGAAGTTTAACATTTGGGGCCAAAATATGTTTTGAGTTAGAGATCCAAACTAGAATAGTGACATTTTATATCCTCCAGGCTTGGTCCAGTTCTTAAGGACTATGAAAATTGGAAGTCTTGGGAAAGTGGAATTTCTCTTCCCTAAAACGTGATTAGGAAAAAGAAAATGTTTCCAAATAAAAAGCATCTGTTCTTGTCTAATGCAGACAAATCATTTGTGAGTCACGCTCAGCATTTCCACTAGCGTTTCATGTCAGAGCTCCGTTTGAACTAACTCGGAGTCTTTCTGTTGATGGCGCAGAGCCCCCAGACCCTCCCGAAATTGAGATCAAAGATGTCAAAGCACGCACAATTACGCTCAGGTGGACCATGGGGTTTGATGGAAACAGCCCCATCACGGGCTACGATATTGAATGCAAAAATAAATCAGGTAAGTTCTTGACTTCCTCCAGCTTCATTTCCACCTCAGAAAGTTCCTTTATTTTACTCCTTATTAATGTGTTTTGCCTGTAAGTGCACAACTCAGCTCACAGTCACTCAGAGGCACCATTTCCCCCAGTCAGTCTCCCTCCTGGCCGGAAGCGCATCCTAGCTTTCTGCTGTGGGAGTGGAGTTTTGCGTTGAGGCTCAGCTCTGCTTCTTTTTCGTTTTTAGCCAGCCCCAGACTTCAGTCTTGCTTTCTGCTGGACTCCTTGCTACTGCAGCTGCCTGTCGGCATGTGGGCAGTGGCTGATGCAGCCAGGCCCCTGCCATGACCTTTCCTATCTCACCTGCTCCCTTCGTTTCCCATTTCCTCAGTTGGGTGACTTTTGCAGAGCCTGAGCCCATGCCCTGCGCCCAGAGTGCTGAACTCGAACTGTGCTTGGTGTGGGTCGGATAAACTGTGCAGTGGTGGTTGGTGCAGAAAAAGGAAAATTCACTCGGGAGCAACCTCCTGGAAATGCTCAGGGACCATCGGCAACACTGGCTGCTGCGCCCAGGACCACTCAGCCCAGAGCCCATAAATAAAACCGACCCTGCTGCCAGGGCCACTGCAGGTGTGCCCGTTCATTGCCTTCAAGGAACAATGCCGGGGCCATTTTGAACTTTATGATGCGTGGGGCGAGGGTAGAATACCACCACTGTGGCCTCCAGTCAGAATTTTTACTGTGTCTCATAAAAGATACGAGGAATTCGAGCACCGCCAGCATGGGAAGGGTTAATAAAATCCTTATAGGCCACAAAAGCAGCTTTATTTTTTACTTCCTGGACACCGCACATTATTTCAGATTGCCCAGTTGTGACCCATTCAGTATCTTTGGCACTAAAGCTGTAGTAAAAAATCAAGCTCAAGGCAGCTAGGAACCACAGGTCAGGAGTGAGGAAATGTTTCAGCAACAGCAAGCCAGGAACAGAGCCAGGAAATGGTGACTGCAAAGGAAAGTCAAGGGGTGACTCTTCAGGAATTCAGGAGAACAGAATTTGAAGATTGAGAAGATGGTGGATCAAAGCAAAAAACAGTGTTTTGAAAAGTAGTATCTGTGACTTGCTGGGTTGGAAATACATATAAGAAAAATGGAATCTGTGACTTGCTGGGTTGGAAATGTATGTAAGAAAAAATGGAATGGCTCAGGCCATCGGCCTCTGAGTTGCAACTGGGGACCTAGAAGCGAGGTGACACTGCTTACACAAAGTCTGAGGAAGGGCCCTCCAGGGGTTGATTGGACTGCAAGTCTCACCATAGCCAAGAAATGCTGCAGAGCCAGGGCCCTGGGCTCAGGGGTGAGGCACAGTGACCTGGAGGGAGCGGGGAGCTCAGCCAAGACAGTGCTGAGCTAAACAAGCATCTTTTGGGGACTAGGAGGAACAGGTTTCCCAAGGGCCCAGGGAGAGAGGCTGACTTTGCCTTTGTTCTAAAGAAGTGGGATTGCAAGTTCACAGATACAGGTCTTGAAGTGAAGCAAATGCTTCTTAGGTGAGGCAGGCACATTTGAGCAGAAACTGGCCTGGAACCTGGTGACAGTGATGAGAGCTCAGACAGATGCAATGAGCACTGTGAGGACAGGGACAGCCCTTTACCTTACTGGCTGCGCACTGGCTATGGGGCTGCAGGCTGCCCGTGCTGCTGGTGCCGGAGCACACAGGAGGCCACTCCTAGTGGAGCAGCTCAGGACCTCCCCTGTCCTCATGGAGGATCGGGCATTGCCGGATGCTGGTGGCAGGCCTAGGCTCAGTGGTTTGGGACCCAGCCTGTATGGGATTTGCTGCTGGGCCTGTATTGCACCAACTCTGCACCTTCGCTTGCTCATCTCACCTGTGAAGTGGGCACTGCTGCATCCACCTCAAAGGACTGGCAAAGAGACCACAAAGGCCACCAGCTGCCCTCTGCCTGGAGTCCTCCCTTCCTTGGGCCACCCAGTTACTACCCCCTCCTTAGATCCCAGTTCCCAGGTGCTCGCCCAGCTCCATCTCCCTTTCAATCTCCCTTTCAATCTCAGCACGTGGCATTATGGGACATCATATATGTATCTCTGTGATTACTGACAAATATACTGACTAATGCATTTCACCTCCACCACGCTAGAGGCTCCTTGGGGACTCCCTCCACCTAGTAGGTCTATTTTCACCCAGCTCATTTCTCCAACACCCAGCACCACACCTGACATGTGGAGACACTCAATGGATATTGGCAAACTCTAAGAAGGGAAGACGTTGAAAATGCCTTCCTCGCTGCCTGGAGCATACTCGACATCTAATAGGTGGTAGCTTGTAGATTGCTCCAGCATGCAGGAAAATACGAGTAAAATGCCTCTAAAACCCTCTGTGTTAAACTACTTGCTCAGCATCTAAGAGTCCTCACTATCTCCCTACTCCCCAGGGGTTTCCCAAAGGCAGGGACTCTGGTTCTCTGTGTCCTGGGATCCCCAGCACCCAGCACAATGTCTGTCAAGTGAAGAGTGTACTGTAAATGTTTATTGCATTTAATTTACATGCAATTGAAATCTAAGAATCATTATTGTCAACAGCATCTTTAAATGTATACATTGATCATGGTTTATATAACTAAAGCAGCAAAGCTTCTTGTCTATAAAGCTGAGTGCAGGAGGGATTGAGGGATACTTTTTCCATCCTTCATGCTCTACTTCAACCAGAGACAGGGCCAGTGGTGTGGCTTAGATGTTATGCAGCCCTGGAACAAGTCATTTTAAGAGTCAGCATGGGTCCCAGGAGAATCACTGGGGAAAAGCCCACAGGACAAGCGGATCCAAGTCCATGACCAAGGTCTCCACCAGGACCCTATAGAACTCCCATTACTTTCAGTTTGGAAGCCCTGGGAGGAAGGAGCTGTGCTGAGAGTAGACAGCACCTGTACTCACTGCTGTATGAGGTGTGTTAGTCAGATTTTTCATGTATTAGTTGCTTCCTCAAGAAATTTTTGGTGTATAAAAATTACAACCATAGTTTAAGTGAGTGTAGTTTTAGACTGATTACAAAGAAAACTGATCCTTCAGATATTAATAACAGCCTAAATGTCACTTCTTCCAGGAAGCCTTCCCTGACTACCTATTCCCCTTCACTATTCATAGCATGTCTTGGAACATTTGGTGGACATGTGACTATTAATTTACTATCTGTACCCCACTGGACAGTTGTCCCCCTATGGGCCATAGTGAGCTCTGAGGGCTGGAATTGTGTCTGACAAACCTTATGCTATGTCCCTGCACCCCTTGTAGTGCCTGACAGGTATACTAGATTCATGATAATCATTAGTCGAATTGTTGAGTCTCAACCCCTGTTTCAGGCAATGGTGAAATTATCCCCCCAAAAGTTTTCCTTTATTTTCATTAATTTTTGAAGAAAGCAGCATACAACCAATGTATTAAAGTACTTCACATTCTTAACAGAAAGAACTTCTGCAAGTTACCATTAACTCTATGCTTGAACAATCCTAGAAACAGAAACTCATTAACCCAGGGAACACAGTTCTGTCTTTGGTCAACTGTGACTGCTACAAGTTCTTACACTTATTGCACCAAAAAAGACCGTCCTGGATCCAGCGGCTCTCTTCCCATCTCTTAACCCTTTGGCCAAATAACAGTCCTCCCAGGATTTGACAACAGATGACTTTCCTTGGTTTACTATTTTCCAGGAAACACTGAACATCCCAAGTCCTTGTTCTTGTATCTCCTGTCATCATCTCCTGGCCCCGCCAACTCTGGTCATGCCCAGTTGCAGCACCAGAGGGCGTCATCTGACCAGGCAGAGGCACAGTGAAGCTGTCCCTTCCTTATCCAGAATATTCTTCTTCTCCCATAGCTGACAAGTACACAGGTTGCTCTGGTTGCCATAGTTTCTGATTCCCAGGGACTTCTGCTTCTCCTCTACACGGACCCAAGGCCACCTTTAACATCCCTTTGAGCATATTGTCTGGGGACCTCCAGCAGATCCATCTGCAGTTTGCTGCCTCCCTTTATTCCCTTCCTTGGAAGGCAGCCTACCCTTCAGAGTCTGCTCCTCTGGTGGCCATCTCCTCTCAACAGGTTCTCTTGTTGCCCCTCCTGTCCACGGCTCCTCTGGTGCCCCCCTCCTGTCCACAGTTCCTCTGGTGCCTCCCTCCTGTCCACAGTTCCTCTGGTGGCCCCTCCTGTCCACGGCTCCTCTGGTGCCCCCCTCCTGTCCACAGTTCCTCTGGTGCCTCCCTCCTGTCCACAGTTCCTCTGGTGCCCCCCTCCTGTCCACGGCTCCTCTGGTGGCCCCTCCTGTCCACGGCTCCTCTGGTGCTCCTGTCCACAGTTCCTCTGGTGGCCCCTCCTGTCCACAGTTCCTCTGGTGGCCCCTCCTGTCCACGGCTCCTCTGGTGGCCCCTCCTGTCCACAGTTCCTCTGGTGCCTCCCTCCTGTCCACGGCTCCTCTGGTGCCCCCCTCCTGTCCACGGCTCCTCTGGTGGCCCCTCCTGTCCACGGTTTCTCTGGTGGCCCCTCCTGTCCACGGTTTCTCTGGTGGCCCCTCCTGTCCACGGCTCCTCTGGTGGCTCCTCCTGTCCACGGCTCCTCTGGTGGCGCCTCCTGTCCACGGCTCCTCTGGTGCCTCCCTCCTGTCCACAGTTTCTCGGTGGCCCCTCCTGTCTACAGTTCCTCTGGTGCCTCCCTCTTGTGCACAGTTTCCCTGGTGGCCCCTCCTGTCCACGCTTTCTCTGGTGGCCCCTGCTGTCCACAGTTTCTCTGGTACCTCCCTCCTTTCTCTGTTGGCCTCTCCTGGCCACGGTTTCTCTGGTGCCTCCCTCCTGTCCCTCCCTCCTGTCCATGGTGCCTCACAGGTCTCGGGCCAGGTTTCAGCACCATGGCAAGCTCCATCACACCCTGGAAGGTAACAGGAAACACAGACTCTGACACAGAACGTACACGCCCCCAGCCCCTCTCCTCTCTTGGGCTCCCACCCCTAGTTCACCCTGAAAACTGTTATCCTTGAGAAGAATAAGACAGAGGACAAGGGGCTCTGCTGTGCCCCCACACCTCCTCCTAGTCACCAACATGGAGGGCCCACTCCTTCTCCCAGTTACCACTCCATTGTTAAGCCTTTCATGTAATTCACCTCTAGAACTTTCAGTCACCCTCACTCGGTCTGGTCTTTAACCTATAACAGCACTTCTTCATATCAAGTCCACGCTCTTATATTAGTCCTTGTTGCTCCTGCATTCATTGGATTTGGGGTATCTGACCCCCAAGACAAGCTCCCCAGCAAGCACCCAGTGCAACCTCACCGGCTCCTGTCAGCTCCTCACTCCTTCCTCACTGCACAGAGGCTGCAGTGGGACTCTGAACTGCCCCATCCTCCTACACCACCAGTCTCCCTGGGAGGAAGTAGGCAGTTGTGGTGATTGATGCCTCTGCCCAGGCAACATGGAAGTTTCTGCAGCTGACAGGGCCAATGAAGATACAGCCATCTTCACCGGAGGTTTTGTCTGGGAGTTCGCGGACAGCCTGGAGAGGCATATGAGTGTCCATGACTGCAGTCCCTTAGACCAAGCTGTGGCATCCTGCCCACTCTTTCAATGAGTGATTCTGACAACTTCTTCCTAAACCAGGCTGCAACTCTGAGCCTATACAGCCCTCTCAGTCTTCCTGCAAACCCACAGATGGTACAATAATTCTGGGCCAAAGTTTTCTTCTCTTACATTTGACCAAATGATTTCTGTGCATTGTCAACTTGCCAGAAGGTCTTCTAAGCATATGAGATTTTCAGCAGGTGCCTGGAAATACCAAAATCCTGTCTTACTAGGTGTTTTCAGAGACTATGTGGATGTCATACATTATAGAAAAATGACCTTGAGCTTGGAGATAACACAGATGAGGCCAAATCCAAGCCCTTCTTCTTACCAGCTGTGTAACAGGGCTTGAGTTTCTTGACTTTTACTAAGGAAACAAAAACCTTACCTTGGCAGGATGTTGTACAATTTTAATCATATAAAACAGTCTGTCCAAACTATACATCAGAATGACCAAGATAGGGAGTCTTTTTAAAAGCACAGGTTTCTGGGCACCATTCCCCAGAGATTCTGGTTTAGTAGGTCTGAAAGCAGAATTATCAAAAAGCCCCAAGGTGTTTCCAATGTGCCCACAGATTTGGGGGCCACAGAAGTCTTGTTTTAAAATGCCCAGCACATTGCCCTGATGGGAGGATGAAACCGAAAATTGCGATATAAATATAACTAAAAAGAATGCACCATTAACCAAATAAAGAGGTTCTTAGGAGTAAATCACAAACAGAAACGTATGAATGGACATCCAAGATCTGAAAAGGGCAAGTGTGACTGGGGAGAGTCTGGGAAGGCCACGGACAGGAAGGGTGAGGATGGGCTTTGAAACGGGTCCCCCAGCCCATTGGAGGGAGTGAGTGGTAGTTTCTACAGACAGAGAGCAAATGCAGCATCAGAGAGGGTTTGTAAGTCACTGGGAGACTGTTGAACAAGGCAGTGTCACTGAGGTAGGGGCTGAGCTAAAGGAACCTATAGGGCATGGATGTGGAGGTGCCCAGTGACCACCAAGAGGGGACTGTCCTGTCCCTACCCAGGTCCACCATATGTCTTGGATTGGTGTAAGGGACTGCAGTCATGGATACTCATATGCCTCTCCAGGCCGCCCGCCAACTCCCAGACAAAAACCTCCAGTGAAGATGGCTGTATCTTCATTGGCCCCATCAGTTCCAGAAACTTCTATGTTGCCTGGGCAAAGGCATCAACCACCACAACTGCCTACTTCCTCCCGGGGCTACTTAGCAAATGTCTCTGCATCTTGCGGCACCTGGCATTCCTCCTCATCCTCCTAAACATCTCTGCAGAAGCCTGGCTTTCTCTCTGTGCGACAAGGCTCATAGGTGTGTGCCATTTCATTGCTATAAAATTTCCTCTCCTCATTTGTCTTCTATTGAATCACATTCTTCTCCTCGTCAATTTTTTTCCAACTCTTCCTATTTCATGTTTTTCCACCTCTAATCTTGACCCCAAATATGCTTTTTCTTTGTCAACTGCAATATTCATTGTCAGCTTCTGTTAGGTTCCATTCTCTGAGAAGTTAAAGTATTCAAAAGCATTCTTTAAGCCACATATTTTTCTTCAATTCCAGAAAATATCTTGCATTTATGTTTAACACTGGACAGAGAAGTCCCCTAAACTGCCATACTCACCCTTAGTGTGACAAAGTGATTGACCCCATTCCCAAGACTCAGAGGTCCGTGTATTTGTGGTTTATTTGTTCATCTAGTAAACATTCATGTACTGTTTGTCTACTGTGAGCCAGGCACTGTGCTAGCACTCGGGATAAAAGACTGTGTATGGCCAGCATGGTCTCTGCCCTCCTGGAGTTTAAAGTCCAGCAGGGAACACAGATTCAGATTATCCACGGAGGACTTACTTGTGTGCTCATCACCACCAAGGCAGACCCTGAGGAGGGTGGGAATATGTAGGCGCCATCTCTGTGTCCTGTCCTGGGGACTCCTCTGTTCATCCCCCTAGCCAACACCAGCTGTGGACCACCCACCTGCAATCAACAACTGCCCAAACCCTTTTGATGTAAGAACCATGTATTGACATTCCCATCCTTGCTTGAAACCTGAAAATCACCAGATACAAAATGTCATAGATTCAGTGATAACATTTCACATGAAGCAGGTGCTGCTGTTATAATTAGCTGTGGTTGAAAAATAATTCCTACAACCAAGGATTTGGCACTAAATGATTTCAAAAAATAGAATTGAAAAATATGTTTGGTAATCAGGATTTATTCTGGAAATGGAGATTGGTTTGTATGGGATTATCTTATTTTTAACACACTCTATTTGGAGAGGAAAGGATCTGGTATGGCTTGAAGTTTTGCTGGTTTTCAAATGCCTTTTAGAACCAGGGGTTTTGGGGGGACCCAGGGGTACTATCCAAACCATAGTTCATTGTACTGTCCCATGCAATGAGTGCTTACGGTGACCATTGTCCATTCCACTAACCTGAGCTTCGCCACTGGAATTTGCCTTCTGAGATCTCCCCCAGTCGGCTGCTCGGTGCCTCCTCCATCGCCCCTCCCTGAACTCGGCTGGCTCGTTGCCCCATGTCCCTCGCAGCGTGAATAATGAGTGTGGGATGTCACATCCCCTCTGATGGCCAACTCTGCCAGAAAGCTGGGAACATTGCATTGAGAAATCACTTTGAGTGTAATTTTTCTTTCTTTCCCTTTTTTTTTTTTTTTTTTTTTTTAATTCCTGCTTGTGAACTTTCAAAGGCAGAGGAAAAAAACTCACATCTCTATCTCTTCTTTTTTGAAAAACAAAACCCAAAAGACTCCTGGGATTCTGCTCAGAGAACCAAAGATGTTTCCCCTCAGCTGAACTCGGCCACCATCATTGATATCCACCCTTCCTCCACCTACAGCATCCGCATGTACGCCAAGAACCGGATTGGCAAGAGCGAGCCCAGCAACGAGCTCACCATCACGGCGGACGAGGCAGGTACGTGGGACCGGGCGGAATCTTGCTCCAGAGGAGCCCGGGAGCTAACTCTTGAGGGCTCAGATGCTTAAATGCAGAAGCAGACCTTTGCCCGTACTAGGCGGAGGTCTTTGATGCGTGCTCTCCGTAGTTCTGTGCCCTGTAAAAAACGCAGACAGCGCTCTGCATCTTACTTTGAAGGCACTGCTCTTCAAATAGGATTTAGTTCAAGTTTCCCATATCCAAGACTTAAAAGAAAGACGTATGAGGCTAACAATCTGGTGAGATTCAAAGAATCATGCAGTTTTACAATTCCTTTATTTGGACACATGGAATCCAGGTTGATAGGAGAACCGTGAGTGTGTTTCTTTCCTGAGACCCTGTGAAGTCCAGTGTGGGAGGAAGCAGTAACGCTTAACTAGGAAGCTGCAAGCGTGCTTACCGTGCAGGAGATGTGGGAAGGGGAACAGATTATTTTATTGACTAGAAACATCAATATTTAAAAATAATGTTTTTGCTCTTTTTTCTGTTGCAAATAACATTTTATTTAGTGTTACAAATTCAGAAGATAGAAATAAGCATTGTGGAGAAGGCAAAACGGCTTCCATCATTTTCCCACCTAGAGCTAACCCAGAAACAGGCAGTGATAACTGGCTAAATAATTTCATCACCCACACACGCACATGCCCACAGACACGCACCAGTGTATACACACCTCTTAACACACTGTGGGCCACTCATGTTTCCTGGGGATGAAATTAACAGGTGTGCAGAGAACTGAGCAATGAGGCAATGGTCCGTGAATGCTGATTGTCAACCTGCCTCCTGGCAGGAGGAGAGGAAGCCACCGTGCTTGGGTTTCTCCCAGGATGAAAAATAAGGAGTGCATGCCTGGCTCATTTATTGGCGGGAAAGAGTGTTCAGCCCCCAAACCTGCCTCCTCTTTTCCTGCCCACCATCAGAGCAATCAGCCACTCCCTACTGTATGGAAGATGTCAGCTTAGTCTCAGGTCCCTATTTTTCCATCACTAAGATTAAGGTGATTGCCATACCCAGATGGCTAACAGAAGAAGGGAGGTTTGTTCCAACTTTCAGCAGAGATTGATCTTGGCTTCCTTCCCACCACCTCATCTCTGCTACCTCCATTAACAGCATCCCAAATAGAAATCAAGCTTATGTATCTCTTAAATACTTCTTTACAATTTGTAGTGATATCTCTCACCACATGTTTAACAAATCTCATATTGCCAAATGGCTCAATTATTTTCAACTTTTCATTAGTATAAACACCACTACAATGAACATCCTGGTGGTATATCTTTTGCCATCTCCAAGATCATTTTCTTAGATTAAATCCTAAGAAGTCAGATGGTTGGATCAATAAAATGCAACATTTTCACTCTTCTGGTATCTGTAATCAATGTTGTCTTCAAGAGAATAGGTTAAAATGTACAACTCTTCCTGAACTGCAGAGGAATGCCCATTTCTCAATGTCGGAAGACGTCAGTTCTTGGACATTGTTTTCAAGAGTGAGTGACAGAAGACCTTTATGCTGAAGTGCCTGAGAGTGAGCCATTTCTGAGACTTGGATTCTCTGTATGATTTCTCATCTGCAAAATGGATATTACGATGCCTTTCTGCTCCTTACACAGACGTATCTTATCATTGAAAAAAATCTCAAGCTCTAAAAATACTTTGCATGTCTCAGAAATAAGTGGGAAATAAGTGTTCATCTGCTCCTGCAAAAATAGAATTGTATTCAATTATGTATGTAAACAACCCACTAACTTCCTCAGATCCCTGGAATTTCATTACGCTGGGTACTTAGGGAAACTAAGCTGTCCCCATCCTTCAGCCCAAAATGTCATCTCTGACTTCCTGCTCAATCTTCTCCATCCCTCTCAAGCGCTTTTCTAATCCTGCCCCATCCCAGCCACCTCCTCAGGATAGCAGCATTTTTCCAGTGATGTATTTTGCACCTGCTTTTCTGATTGCCATTATTAATGCTGCTGTTGTTGCTTTTTTCTTCGTTTCCTCTGTGACCTCTGCTGCGGCTGGCAGTTGCCATGGCAGCAGCTCTCTCCCTGCCAGAAGGCCAGGTGAACAGCCTCTGGGGTGCTGGTCTGCAGGGCAGCTGCCTGGCATGTCTGCAGACAGATGCAGACTCCTCCTCTTTGGCTCCCGGGCTGACCTTTTGTATTCTATCTGGGTGCTGGCTGTGGCAGCCCCACACAGCCCCTCTCCTTTAATATTCAGAGGAGCTAAGGGGAAGGAAAGGGAAAGAGCAGGTTCCAGAAATGGAAAGCTACAGCAGAGAACTTGTCTTTGTCTTGGTTCATAGGTTTGTATGATTGAAATTAAAAAATCAATTTCCTATGTGTAACTTACCTAGAATGGGTGCTCTGGCCAAAGGCATCCCATTAGAGTGTTCAGCAGGGGCTGTAGACACTGCTGCCCCTTCCCAGCAGGCAAACCCAAAGGCACATCATTTTAGCAGCTGTAGCTGTCTTGAGATGACCTTGTCCCACTGCTCCCTTACTCCTCATGTGGGTGCCTCCAAAAGCTGTTGCCCACTCACTTTTACTGTAATGTAATACCCAAGTCTTGGGCACACGAGGATGCCTCCCCAGTGCTACTGCTTTGCAGCGACACTCAATGACTCCCCAGAGCCCCATGCCCAGCACGGACCTGCCTTTGCATGCTCCCACACCTCTATTGTTGTGCTTCTTCCCCTGTGTGGAAGGCACTACAGGTTCCATGTCGCCTTTTCTGTGCTCTTCCTTGAAAAGCCTAGTTCAAGGATGCCTTCCTCCCTGGTGCAATGCCTCTTTCCATCTCCCGGGTATAGTGGGGACTCCTCAGCTCAGCACAGAAGAGGGATTTTGCTGACAGTAGCCTTTGAGGTATATCTTTATGTCTTCATGGACCCTGCTGTCCATGATGATATGCCACCTGATGTGGAGGGGCTGTGGCCCCCTCCACAATTCTGTCCCTTGTGTGTGTCTGGCATAAGGGAGATGAACGTATGAGATGAACATTTATAAACGTTATTCACAGTATTGCCTTTAGAATGGGTGTCGCAATGAGCAGAGTATGTGTGTGTGCGTGTGTGTGCACGTGTGTGTGTGTGTGTGTGTTGAGAAAATATATCCTGGATTAAACCCGCAGTGAAATTCTGAAGGGTGCCCTGGTCTGAATGTTCATGCCTTCCCTTTCAAGTTAATATCTTGAAACCTAATTCCTAATGCAATAATATTAAGAAGTGGGTCAGAAGTTACCCCTTCTGCCCTGGGAGGACACAGGAGGAAGGCACCATCTATGAACCAGAAGAATAAGCCTTCACCAGATACCAAATCTGGCATCTTGATCTTGGAATTCTTAACCTCTAGAAATAAATTTCTGTAAGAAATAAACTTCTGAGCCAGGTGCAGTGGTT